ATAAATCGAAACATTGATATAGATTCCATAAATTGATCACAGATGCCTTTGGTTAAACCAACATATTTTCACTGTTAGCTGTCATGCTACTTTTGCATTATTTGATCCGTTTCAGAACAGTCCATAAAATGTATTGTTAATTTTAGGTAAATTTGGCTGTTTTGGCAAGGGAAGAAAATTTGCATTCTTTTTTTGCACAAAAGGTGTTTTTAAGCACCAATTTTTCTGGGTTTTTTCAATTTTGTACAACTTTGTTTAATTTTAAAAATACGAAAATTGGCACCAATTTTGGCTAAATAGAATATTGGACCCTATAGTGGAACGTGTAAATACTCCTTGCGGGGACTAGGATACTGCCGGAGCTCGTGCACAAATGCTTGTATGTATGTATGTATGTATGTATGTATGTATGTATGTATGTATGTATGTATGTATGTATGTATGTATGTATGTATGTATGTATGTATGTATGTATGTATGTATGTATGTATGTATGTGTGTATGTATGTGTGTATGTATGTGTGTATGTGTGTATGTATGTGTGTATGTACGAGATTGAGAGGGCAAATAGAGCCGATCGTGAACGAGGATAAGGGGAGTGAGGTAGGTACTAGAAAAAGATCAAGGATGAGAGATACGTAGCTCACCCGACCGAAAAAAAGCACTCCAACACAAAACGAGTTAGAATACAATTTTATTGGCTAATGATAGACTAAAGAGACTAGACTACAAAATGTATGTATGCATGTATTGGCTTAACCACACGACAATTCTATCAGTCCAGAAAAACAACGATGCCGACGAGTGAAGCTCACGAACAACACGACCGACGCCACGCTGAATAAATATCATACTGCGGAGAATCGACAACGTAACAGAAAAATTAACAACATCAACATTTTGAGAAAAAAGGAGACGCGCTTACGATGTCCTCTGTGTGTGACTGGGTAGTTTCCGCAGCGACGTTAAAAGGACAAAAAAACCGTCTATGCGACCCCCACATGCCAAACGATCACAAGCATGACGATATCGACACTGCCTGCCAAAGGCAGTGCAACGTCCACTGTTCCAGGACCTGCAAGAAAACGACGACGAAGGGGTACTGGAACTCGCATGCTGAACGCGACTGGGGAAACGCGGAACACGAACCGCGGCGGTGTGGATGTTAAATAGCTCCACGTTCATGTTTGACCAATCAGACAAACCCCGGGGGGCGGCATCGCGGCGAAAAGCCTTGTCGTAATTGAGCCAGGCGTCCCCCCCGAATTGCGAATACGTACGCAGAATCAGCAGTTCGTACAAAACAAGTCACGAACACGGTGGGGGAACCAAGTAACGAGAACGATGGAGAATATGGAAAACGCTTGGGCACATTGAATGACATCGGTAATTTGTTTGGTCGTTCGGGAGTAATTATTAACCGGCCGTCGAACGACATGGTAGGGATAGACGATTCATCAGATGGCGGGGCAGAAGGGCTGCCAGATCAATGTAAAGGCCCGACGCTATTGCCGAACGGGATTGAAACCGGGGCCCACCACCATGGCGTTATCAAACGACTGTGAAGGGAAAGTTGGACAGGAGGTACTTGTCCCCGGGTAATTAGACATGAACGGCGAAACAAAGTCAGGGATACCTGACCGTTGCACTTGAGCTGTTGAACCGCCAGGCGGACCATACGGAGTCGGGGGGGATGGGTAGTAAGAGGGATGGACGGCAGCATTAGCCTGCCCCGAGAACGGTTGCTGGGACCAAGATGTTCCGGTTGGATCGAGGGACAACCCCCTTGGATGCTGACCAACGAATGGGTCTTGCTGAATGACTGAGGAGTCTATGCGAGCGGCTGTGAGCCAAGGGGGGCGGCCAGGGATGCGGAAGGATAACCATAGCCGACCGCGCTCCGCGAAGGCCCTGGGAACGACACGCTCGGAAATCCAACATGGCGGACATCTGAAGTCGGGAATGTAGAAGGAGACGATAAATTCGAACCCAAACGAGACAGGAACGGCAACGTCGATGGTAAACTAACGTTCCACGACGACATAGTATTTGGCAATGATCTTGTAGACGAAACTGCTGCGCCATAAGATGTAGTCTAGGACCTGTATATGAGTTTGTATGCATTTGATTTAGGACAGATAATCTCAAAGGTTTTTGGGCAAGTTAACCATGACGGTCAACATGGTAACGCTGCCCGAACCCCAATCCGGGGCGAAACGTCCGAAACTGACCACACCCAAAAACGACGCTTTCGCCATACTGCTATCTACCAAACCATAAAAGCTTTTGCTGTTCTGAGGTGCTTATATGGTTCAGAGATGGTACTTTTGGGGGTAGTCACTGGTAAGTGTGAAATGCCTAGCACTAACATTTCACAAGAAAATCACCATGCAATAATCATAGTTCAACTTCAGATAAACAGCAGTGGACTTACATTACCTTTTTCCCTAAATCTTTTTGATAGAAACATAATTGGTACTTATTTAAATATATTATCACTGCTTTGGTGTAAAATAGTTAATATTTTCTGACCGAAATAATAATTTGAAATGTGCCTACCTCCTGCAAATGGACGTATTTGGCCAACTTCTCCACTTCACTCCGCTGTTTATCGGCAATTTCGTCTACATCCTTCCAAAAATGTAAATCATCTCAGACGCAATGATATCAAGAACATTTTAAACAAGTTTTAACTTGGTGCTCAAGTAGATCATAGCTGTTTAAGCATCGACAATGTAAAACCTCAACTTTGTCCAACTTCGACGCCATTTTGTCATCCCGTGTCGGTTGTTAACATTTTGGCCTTGTTATTCTTCTGTCCGGGCCATTTTGATGCTTTAATAGCAAGTTTAACCCTTTGTTAAGGGTATTAAAATTAAAAATGCAAATGAATAGGCGAAATGATCATTTTATCACCCCTGTAAGACGTTGCTCACGAGTCTTTCAAAACATTCCGGTCAAATCTCGCGTGGGCGAAGTAACATGCCTTGACAGGGGGGTGAACACTGAGCTGGGGGTGAATGTTTTTTCGCGAAACCTGAAGAAGGCTGCGTGTGACAATAGGGAACCCAAGCTGAATTAATTAACTTTAGTTGAATATATTGTTGTAGACTAAAAACTGAACTAAAAGTGAACGCTAATTCTAAAATACATCCTAAACTGCACTATTATTTACCGAATACTACTTTTCTAAACTAATAACGCATATTTTTCTACATTTTTTCTACAAATATATTTTATAAAGTTCATATTTTAACGTCAAGTTACTCAAATATAAACTGTAACTTGTTATTTTTAGAATGTTACTATTAATAACTCGAGCTAATAACTCGTGTTTTATTAATTCGAGCTTATTCGAAACTAGTGCGTTTGTTATATCGAAAATCTTTTGCCGATTTACTCTTAACTTACAAAGTTTAATAAATACCGTGAGGGAAATTTATAGCTGGGTGAAGACTTTGAAGATTAAAGCAAAGCCAAGGCACTCAGTATGGTAAGACCAACAATCAACATTTAATTTGCATGACATGTTTATATTAATAAATATTTATTTGTCGCTACCAGAATAAAACAAACATTTGATGATTGAATTCTCTTTTTTGGCTTGTAAGCGTCAACAATTCATCTTGTATAAAGCACAAACGATATATGCAACACAAAATTAACATATTTTTAGATTATATTTTGAAGCTTTTAATATATTAAAGCTGAATCAAACATACACTAGTCACACGTTTTCCATAACAAGTGCACGTGTAATAAATGCATCCAGGCAAGAAATATTTGTTTTTAATTAAAGATGTTTTTGAAAACACTTTTAGAAACTAAATAATTGAATTCACTAAGTTTGTTCGTTTAGTTTTGTTAACCGTATTAAATATAATTTTTATTATTTGTGTTGTTTTTGAGTATTCTTAATTAAGGTGGCTCCCTACGGTGCGTATAATCGTATAATAGTCCAGCACTGATGCTACGAATTATTACATTTTCCAATCTTGAAAAATTTTGGTATAACATAATTTCTTTTTAAATCACGAGATGATTCAACATGCTGAAAGAAATCATGCTGTATAATAGAAATGGGGTTCACAGACCTAATGTTCGAATTAAATTACTTTAAACTGCCGCCATAGTTAATTGTTACCATAGCAACAGTTGTTAGTAGGACATTTTTAAAAACTCGCCCAAATCCTTATAGTTATTGTTTTATTCAAATGAAACACTCTTTGGTTTTCAACAAATAATTATTGTTCAGAAATTCATGTCCAAAGCAGAAAATCGTCCATTTTTTAAAAATGTATGAAGTCACCTTGAATGACACGAAAACGCGTGACTTGTCTAAAGGTACGTTTACACGCTGCGATTTGTCGGGCCGATTTTGCTCGCTGTATGTAAATAACCTGTCGTGAATACTCGCGTCAGCGCCTTGCGATTCACAAATTTAATCGGGAGAAAAATCTGTAACAAAACCACAGATTTTTGTCACGATTCAACGATTTTTCTTCCGTTGTAAAGTTGTTGAAAACTTTTCGCACGCAGAAAACTATAACATGAACAGACGAGAGAGCGGACAGCTTCAATTGAACGTTTAAATCGCTAAATGTCGAAGAAGGGGCATCGATTATTTACCAAAATTGGCCCGTCAAATCGCAGCGTGTAAACGTACCTTAAAGCCCATTTTCCACTAGGGGAATTTGTTTGCGCGAAGATAAAAAAAATCTGATTGGTCAGCGAAAAAATTCAGGGCGAAAAAGTTGGATCAGCCCTGTTTATTTACTGTTTGTGCGAACAAATTCACCTAGCTAGTGTAGAATGGGCTTAATATCGCTAAAAAAGTAAGACTAATGTGCTTGTTTGTCGTTTGTTGGCTGTCTTTTTTTCTATTTCAACAATTTGACATAATGGATATACTCCTGATAGACTCATGTAGTCAGTCCTATGGTTATGTATTTAAAAGCATTTAAATCATGTAAGCCTTGCATTGTTTTGCAAAATTAAGTATGATTACTATCACGTGCGACGCTAGAGCTTCACCCATTTTTCAGGACGAAGTGCCCCTCGTAGCTTGTTCTTCTACGCGCAAATCATCAACGCCAACGAGATTGGACGAATGTATATTATGCCAAACAAAAACGCGATCCGATTACCTTTCGAGTGGTGAAACGGGCAGGGCACGGATTGTTTCTCTTGCAAAAGAAGATGGCAGTGATGACAGCCGAGCTAAAAGGGTCGTAGATTTATCGGTGCAAGAAATGGAAATTATGAAATACCATTCATCAACGTGTTATAAGAAGTTTCAGAGAGATATGGAAAAGAAAAGAAAGGAAGAAAGCAACGATGTAGAACCATCTGTAGCAGTCGATGATGCAGGAAATGATAACGATCAACGCAGAAAAAGGCTTAAGGCGAATGATATGAAACAGGTATGTGTCATTTGTGGCTCAGATCGTAAGACCGTAAAGCAGCAGAAAGTGCATAAGTTACTGAGAATGTGTGAAAAACAAATCGCTCAAAAGTTACTAAATGCAGCTAAGTTGCTCCAAGACCGTGTATATACTGAAACAGCAGCGATGTGTGGTCCAGAAGATGTTTTCGCAGCAGATATCTACTATCACAGCTATTGTTGTAAAGAATACTTCAACAAGTACAACTTGAAAATTATGGAAATTATGAAAAGTCTCGAGGCTGAAGAATCCGTGGCAGCAGGAGACGAAATTCTGAAGGAAAGGTTTCTGGCATTAAAACTTGATTTTCAGAACACGGCATACAGTCTTTCTTTTATCAGAGAGAAGCTAAATGAAAATTCAACCTTTAGTTCTACAGTTACCAACAGAACTGTCAAGCAATTGATCATCGAATTATATGGCGGCGATGTCTGCTTTACTTATCCAAGCAACAAACGGATATCTCAGACGGTGTTTTCGACAGGACGTGATCCACAAAGTTTGGTAGAAGCGATGCGAGTGTCATCTGTCCAACAGGTTGCAACCACATTAGCGCAGGAGTTGAAAGATTACACATTTGGATTGCAAGAGAGCTTTTGTGAACCACGAGATCTGCAGTTATCCGCAAGCATGTTGCTAAAGAATCCGCCACCGACATGGGAAAAATTTTGTTCGCATTTATTCCATGGCAGACAGGTTTCACGAGTTAAAATGGACGTCGTTTTTCAAATTCTGCATTACGCTTTGAGTGGCGGTAAAGAGCCAACACCTCTCCATATTATGGTTGCTGAAGGAATCCTAAGTCTAACAAGATCGAAAGAGCTCGTAACTGCATTGAATCGCCACGGTATTTGTGCCAGCTGCAACACCGTCTGGAGAATCGACGTTGATATCGCAGAACGGATTATCACTACAGCAGGCGATAACAGAGTGCCACTTCCCGCTGTTCTTGAAGCCACAAGTCCACTGAATGGAGCAATGGATAATTTTGATCGCAACGAAAGCACACTGGCTGGCACAGGCTCCACACACGACACTATCCTTGTACTTTTCCAAAATGTTCCAGTCAATGAAGAAAAGCCATCCGAGGGAAGTGAAATCTCGACAAGACTACGTGTTTCTCAAGATCGGATTTCAGTCAGGCTACGATCAAAGGTGACGTGTCAGGAACTTATCCGGATGGGACCAATGAAACATAGAGGAGAGATAGACATATCAGCACAAGATACATTGACCGCGGTATTATCGAATGGTGAGCCTAATTCCTTAACCGTAGACGAATTTCCTGTTGGAAACGTATCAATTGCTAGTGTCACTAATACAGCTGAAATGGTTGCAATCACAACCTCGTCCCCAGGGTCTTCCTCGTGGTGGCGCGTGAGCTGAGGAAGACCATAGCTCAGTGAGGAAGATCCTGGTAAAATGAAATCTCCAAGATTCTTGGAGATTTATCGCATGCGCAGTAACGACGTTATGTTAATTGCTGACTACAATTAGCGCTGGCGCTTACGATTTTCGTGCTTAAAAATATACATGTTTTGTTGAGTGTTTATGTATTTATTCTCAAAGTTTTAACAAATTTTACGAAAAATACTTCAGATATAAGCTGTGAACACACATGTACACAAAACTATGCAACATTCATCATCATATTGTATCAATTTGTCAGAGTATGGCGCTCATATTTGTGACATCGTTTTGTTCGCTCTGGCAACCCTCGTATATATCAGATGCTATTCGGCTTCAAATGCGACTGAATAAACACTGATAGTGTTGCCTGGAATATGAAATGATATTGATTGATTGTTCTGTATATCAAGGTACGTACTGTACATTTATACTGAATTTATTTTCACACGAATTTCAAACTATTTCAGCCTTTAATGAACAGTGAGATCACTAATATACAGTCATACAGAAAGACTCCATATTTTCTCATCAATTCTGATTATCGTTACAAGTAACAGTAGAAATGCTTCAAAATTTATTCTGATTTCAATGTAAAGCAGGGCAGCATGCTTTTATTTTGCTTTGGTGGTAGTCACCACTCACCAAGTCAAACGGGCCATTCCATTTAATAGCCCCCCTAAGAGATTTCCTAAAAATTAGGTGTTTTAGTGATATCCAAAGGGGCAGAAACAATATCCTAAAGGGGTAGAAAGATATCCATAGGGGTTCCAAAATTGCATCTAATGGGATTCCAAAATTTTTAAGGTATTATGAAGAGACCCCTCAATAGGGTGTGTGTGGGAGGGGCTATATTAGATGGAATGGCCCGGTGTGCTGCAACAACTTTTAAAATTTGTATATATGTTTTTAAGGCACAGTATGTAATGGAGTTTGATATGATGATCAGCACAACCTGAAGGTCTTGACTGAATGGACAACTTATCTGATATACTCCTAGTTCCAATATACTTTGCTGTATATTATCACCAGCTCAGATGTCAGTTGGATCACTTTGAATGAACATTGGAGTGGCACAATAAAGTGTCTGTATTAGGGAGGAGTCTATAAGGACAGAAGTAAAAGGCACACTTTTGGATATTTGAATCATAGCAACTACATATAGTGTAGGTTTCAAATAAAGTTTGAACAATGTACAACTGAAAATAAAAATATATTTAATTTGAAACACTTAAAGGAATTACAACATATTATATGATAGTCATATGTACATGATTATAGGTATATTCATTAGTTTTACTAGCTGATATTTATGACCATCCTGGGTGACAACATTTATTTTTCCCAAGAGATTTTACTTGCATGATAGTAATAAGTTTAATAGTAACAGAGAAGTGTGTTGGATATGTGAAAGTAATTATCATTAGAAATACAAATATTAAACTGTAATTTTGACCATTGTAAATGTATTATTAAAGAAACAAAATACAAAAGTCAAACAAGGCTATTTAACATAATACAGTCATAATACTAGGTTATTAAATAACTACTGAATAGAGGGATCATGAAAATCTTCTAAGATTACTATCATAGCTCTGTAACAGGGAAAGGTATATTGAGATTCTTCACCTTGATGAACAAAATCAAATAGCATTAAAAAACTATAATGCCATCAACTAATTCCCATTTAAAAATTTTCATGTTGGTCACTGTGAAATATAATCTTGAGGCCATCTTAATGATTGTTTACTATCTGATTGATGACATGATTTAATATATATATTTCCATGGAATTCAAGTTGACTTTTTCCCAAGTTCATGTAAAATATGGTTCACCTGTTAAAGTAATAAAATGTTTATTAGTTGTTTTGTAACAGAACAGTACCTGCTTTAAAGAAAATATAAGAAAGAGAAAATCGAAATAACAGTTGTACTGTATATGGAAAACAGAATAAAATCTTTCTAAGCATTTCTACTGTTATCATAATTTTATTAACTGATGAGATAATATGAAGTCTTTCTGCATGTTAAAAACTGTGATTTCTGAAGAAGTCTTTCTGCATGTGTGAAATGAAGTCTTTCTGTATGTGTGAAACTGTGTTAGAAAATGTGATTTCCGAGACTCTGAGAAAATGCGAAAGCAACGTGTGAAAATAAATCGAATAAATTCAGTATAAATGTACAGTACATACCTTGATATACAGAACAATCAATCAATATCATTTCATATTCCAGGCAACACTATCAGTGTTTATTCAGTCGTATTTGAAGCCGAATAGCATCTGATATATACGAGGGTTGCCAAAGCGAACAAAACGATGTCACAAATATTAGCGCCATACTCCGACAAATTGATACAATATGATGATGAATGTTGCATAGTTTTGTGTACATGTGTGTTCACAGCTTATATCTGAAGTATTTTTCGTAAAATTTGTTAAAACTTTGAGAATAAATACATAAACACTCAACAAAACATGTATATTTTTAAGCACGAAAATCGTAAGCGCCAGCGCTAATTGTAGTCAGCAACATAACGTTGTCGTTACTGCGCATGCGATAAATCTCCAAGAATCTTGGAGATTTCATCGTATTTTACCAGGGTCTTCCTCAGCTCACGCGCCACCACGAGGAAGACCCTGGGGACGAGGTTGTTGCAATCACGCCAGAAGATGACGTACGTTTAAAAACAACAAGCCCAATAACAGATGCAAGCGGCATTCCTTCCATGAAATCAATCAGTTTGGACTATTTTCTGTGGCCGGTTAATCGACTATCAAAAAGGGCGGCCGATGAGAATTCTTTTGTTCCAGGATTCACAGCCGTTAGAAGCTCGTTAACTAATTTAAATTTTCATGACACCACAAAGATTCTTACTCCAATCTTACCGTATCCAGCTACTACATACGATGCAATATTCACCACAATGATAAATTTCCAAGACGCTCTCAAGCAGAAAGGAGATACGTATGGCGGTTTGTGGGCAGACGAAGGTGTATACCGCATTGCGAAAGAAATTCAACTCCTAAAGCCAGATAAATTTAGCAACATATTTCTTGGTCTTGGAGGGTTTCATATGGAGAAAATTGTGTTCGCGTGTCTTGGCGCATATTTGGAACCGTCGGGAATATTTTCTGTTTTAGTGGAAACCGAGTGCTATAGTACGGATGCTATCAATGGTGTGATTTCTGGTTCCTATTATTCCAGGGCTCGTACAGCCCATTCTTCGATCAACGAGGTTATCATGTCCTTGATGCTAGAGGCATTCCAAGCAGAATATCCAGAAAAGAGTGTCCTATTTGAAGACCTTTTGGTAGACTGTCAATCTGAGGAGATGACAACTGATTATTGGAACACCATAAAGGAGCACTCTAAAGATATAGAGGAAGACTTCAAAGATTTCATGAAAGAAAAATCACGGCAATCCCAGTCATTTGCTTATTGGTTTACGTATGCTTTCGAGCTTTTTCCAATAGCAGGAGATCTTACAAATTCAATGCGTTCTGGTGACTGGATACTTTATCTTAGTGCTGTTGAAAGAGCAACCTCGCTGTTTTTCTTTTTTGGACGGACTAACTATAGTAGATGGACACCATTATTCCTGCAGGATTGTTACCAATTAAAAGATAAGTTTCCACTTCTCTATACCTCATACATGAATGGCGGATTTGTTGTAAATACCAACAGAACAGGCAGTGGGGTTCCGTTTGACCAAGCTTTGGAGCAAAGCTACAACCGACATGCTAAAGTTAGTGGTGGTATAATTGGTTTTACTAGAAAGAAAGACGCTGTGGCATTGTGGGGTATAATCAAACACAAGAAAGATGAATACGTTCACCTCCTTAAGATGCAAGATGATGTAGACGGAGAATTGTCAGTTCATCACGATTTTAACCAGAGCAGTGCAAAAAAGATGAAAGAATTGGTGCAAGAAATAGAAAGAAAATTACCTTCTGAAAGTTTGTAGTCCCTTTCTTGAACTGGAGACTTTGAAGAATGTACTTACTGGAGAGATTGTGTCCAAAGTAGATGTGAGCAAGCTGCTGTGCTGTACAAAGATGGGTGGTGGTGCTTTCGCTGAATTTGTTGAAAATCGTCTACGAGACAAAAAAGTTTCCATACACTCCACGATAAGTAAGATCAAATATTCCTCGTCTCATGTTTCGACACATTCGGCCTCGAAGACAGACATCAAAGACGAGACTATCAAAGCTCTGATGTTTATTGAATATGGTCGTCACCGTGGTTTCCCCGCAGAAGAGCTACTCGTCCATGAAATCACCAGGTCCGCTTTCTTCTTGGTTGACAAGGATGGCTATGTGAAAAAGAGTGTAAAATCCCAGTTGGCGACAGAGTTGCTGAAGCTATGCCCAGAAATAGACGCAAAAGGCCCGACAACACCTCTACCAACCAAAGCTTATATTATCGACTTCATGGCGATGGTTAGAAAAATCCCATTGAAGAAACTGGAACTACCTGTGAAGACATTCAACGACTTTGCAGCTGCCCTGACTAAAATGATCGTCCACGCTGGAGGCAACAGTGATGAAATACGCGTAGTTTTCGACACTTACAAGGAAGACAGCATCAAGAATGTAGAAAGGCAGAGAAGAGGAAAGTCAAATGAAATGATTGTTTTGGATTCGATTTCTCCAAACCATCGAGTCCCCGTTAAACTGGAGAACGTTTGGTCTTCTTCCGCTAGCAAAACCGCATTCCAAGCATTCTATGTCGAATGGCTCAAAACCAACTACGATGGAAATAAACCGCTATACCTTGGTATATCTCCAAAAGCATGGTTCGTATCGGCAGGACGTGCATCTCCATTCCCTGGACTTGATTGTACACACGAAGAAGCTGATGATAGGATGATATTTCATGTTCAATATATTTTATGTCACGAATCTGGTCCCACTTCAATTACGCTCTCCTCGGGTGATACAGATGATTTCGTATGCCTCTTGTACCACTTTGCTGTCAACTGGAAACATCTTGGTCTTGATGAATTATGGCTTATACGCAATTCAGGCCTAAAACGTTCAATATTGCCACTGACGAAGATATGTCTCACGCTTGAAGAAGATTTAATAAAATGTCTTCCTGCACTTCATGCACTAACGGGATGCGATACAACCAGCAAGATAGCCACGAAATTAGCAGCTCTCAACGCTATTCGCATTCCAAGGAACCTCCCACTCCTCGCAAATTTTAATTGTCCACAACTGACAGACAACGCGATAAAATTGGCAGAAATTTTTTTGGTCAAGTGCCTCAAACCATCTACGCACTTGGAAACATTTGATGAGCTACGTATCGATACATTTGACAACAATGCCCTGAAATTAGACTTCGAAAAAACAGCCTGCACCAGTACGAACATTAGGATGCATATCCAAAAAAGCTATTATCAATCGCAGCTGTGGATTCAAGCCCCATTTAGAGAAACAACAACGCTTTTGAAGGCCGACGATTATGGCTTTGAAAGAAAAAACAATTTAATTGTTCCTGAAATTGTCATCAACAAACCTGAGGGCCTTTTGCATCCGTGTAAGTTTGGTAAATGCGATCGTAAAAATGCATGTCCCTGCAGAGTGGCTGGAGTTAGCTGTTGTAAATATTGTAAATGTAAGGCTAGTGAAAATTGCAAAAATCCAATAACAGAATGAAAACAAAAGATAATGGACACAAAGTCGAACTCCGTCCAGCACTTTCCCGTTTTTGGTGCAATATATATCGGTTAGCTTCTGAAATATTCCTGATACATTTCTTCTTACTGCTCTGCTGTTGTTTCAAGATAATCTACATTGATCATTACGAACATTTTCCTGTTTTTGCCGTGCTGTTGTTTCAAGATAATCCACATTAATCATTATCAACATGCAGTATCCTTTTTATTTCGTGCTGCAGTTTCAAGATGATATACATTAATCATTATGAACATCTTCCCTTTTCTGCCATGATGCTGTTTCAAGATGATCTACATTAATCATTATGAACACTATCCTTTTTCTGCCGTGCTGGTGTTTCAAGATGATCTACATTAATCATTATGAATACTATCGTTTTTCTGCCGTGCTGCTGTTTCAAGATAATCTACATTAATCATTATGAACATTATCCTTTTTCTGCCGTGCTGCTGTTTCAAGATAATCTAGATTAATCATTATGAACATTATCCTTTTTCTGTCGTGCTGGTGTTTCAAGACGATCAACATTAATCATTATGAACATCTTCCTTTTTATGCCGTGCTGCTATTTGAAGATGATCTACATTAATCATTATCAACATTTCCTTTTCATGCCGTGCTGCTGTTTCAAGATGATCTACATTAATCATTATGAATATACTATCCTTTTTCTGCCGTGCTGGTGTTTCAAGATGATCTACATTAATCATTATCAACATTTCCTTTTTATGCCGTGCTGCTGTGTCAAGATAATCTACATTAATCATTATGAACATTATCCTTTTTCTGCCGGGCTGCTCTTTCAAGATAATCTACATTAATCGTTATGAACACTATCGTTTTTCTGCCGTGCTGCTGTTTCAAGATAATCTACATTAATCATTATGAACATTATCCTTTCTGGTGTTTCAAGATAAACTACATTAATCATTATGAATACTATCCTTTTTCTGCCGTGATGCTGTTTCAAGATAATCTAGATTAATTATTATGAACATTATCCTTTTTCTGTCGTGCTGGTGTTTCAAGACGATCAACATTAATCATTATGAACATCTTCCTTTTTATGCCGTGCTGCTATTTGAAGATGATCTACATTAATCATTATCAACATTTCCTTTTTATGCCGTGCTGCTGTTTCAAGATGATCTACATTAATCATTATGAATATAGTTCCTTTTTCTACCGTGCTGGTGCTTCAAGATGATCTACATTAATCATTATCAAAATTTCCTTTTTATGCCGTGCTGCTTTTCTGCCGTGTTTCTGTTTCAAGATAATTA